GGCAGCTGTTTATTAGTCGTGGCTGTGGCGTTAAGAGGGATGAATTGTCCCATTTTTTTAGAACTTATCTATCACTAAACGTATAGGCATGCCCGTGAGTGGTTGGTGGAAGTCCATTGATAAAGTCCAGACTGACAACTTGACATGGCTGCTCCAGTACGAGTAACGGCTAAAGTAACCCTACTTTTTTTTGTTGGGTGCAAAAAAATATTTTTGCACGTCAACCAGCCGCCTGCCTCGCATTTTGCATTTTGTGTGTGTGTGCACATTTTTCATTTTCATCTTGCGATGTTCTCTGCGCATTTGTTCTTGCATTTTGTGTGTTTTGTTTTGCCAGGTTCTTAGCCTCCGGTCTTCTATTGGTCTTCCGTTACAGCCTGGCACACCGCTGCCTGCTCCTTCTCCTTACACTGAGCAGACAGGAGGTCTTACTGATCGTTGTGAGCCTGCGTCTCGTCCTGTCTCGCATGTTCGCACTGTCCGCACTGGTCGTACTGGTCGTCGTGTTCCTCGTGAGCGTCCGCCAGCTGTCCCGGGCACACACCTCATGGCTCTGCGTCCGTCCTCTGCTCCACAACGTGTTCCTCTACCGTCTCCTCCTGCGTCTTCTCTGCCTGTCGTTGCTGACCCTGAGTCTGACCGGGTTCGTGCTGAGCACCCTACTGTCACGCGCCTGCTAGCCACTGTTGGCACTGACCCGTCGTTTGAGTCTGCTGCTGCGTCTGCCTTAGTCGCTGAGCTTGTTGACTTTGCTGCTGCCTGTCGTCTAGACCACGCCGCTAGTCTTGTTGCTGAGTCTGAGTCTGTCTGTCCTCTGTCCGTCGGGGGTGAGTGTGCTATTAGCACGGACGTCCTTGAGGACATGCAGGAGGACCTTGAGTGTCTTGCAGCCGCTGCGCCTCATCTCATGGCCATGCTGCTTGCCTCTGAGGGAGACCCGGATGCTCCAGACATCCCGACCCCGCGCTCTTACGCTGAGGCGATCGCGGGTGAGTACTCCTCTCAGTGGGAGACATCTATGGACGCAGAGATGGCATCCTGGAAGTCCACAGGCACTTACGTTGACGAGGTTCCCCCTCCTGGGGCGAACATCGTCGATGGCATGTGGATTTTCGGGTGAAGCGGCCGCCAGGTTCTCCGCCTGTCTTCAAGGCTCGTTACGTTGCTCGAGGTTTTAGTCAGCGAGAGGGAGTTGACTTCTTCTAGACCTTCTCCCCCACCCCGAAGATGACCACTCTTCGGGTGCTGCTGCACGTTGCCGCTCAGCGTGACTACGAGCTTCACTCTCTTGACTTCAGCATAGCTTTCTTACAGGGCAGCCTACACGAGGAGATCTGGTTGCGCCGCCCACCTGGCTTCACTGGGTCGTTCCCTCCTGGTACCCAGTGGAGCCTCTGGCGGCCAGTCTACGGTCTCCGCCAGGCGCCGCGTGAGTGGCACGACACACTAAGGACGACAGTTGCGGCTCTTGGGTTTGCTCCTTCCACTGCTGACCCGTCGCTGTTTCTGCGCACCGACACTTGTACGTGAGTCAGCACGTGGCAGAATTTGCGTGTCGCAAGGTTAAATATGTATGCGGTATTTCAAATTTCACTCTAATATATTACAGTTTCGATTGTAAGACATATACCCGTAATACCCCGGATATAAGACCCGGGGGTATAACAGATGGCTACATGCCATAAGACCCGAGTCTTATCATAAGGTCATGTATACTACTTGTGATTTGGAAGCCATACATGCGTACATTATGTGCTTCGTTTTTAGCATTCAAAGGGAATACGCGTAATGAAATTCGTCTTTAGCATTCAAAACTAATACATGAAATTGACATGATGACGAGTATATGTGCTTTTGGGACTGGCTGATACCCCTCGTTAATGAAAATTTTATGGGATTTGGTGTGGAAAGGGGCAGAAATGCTACCAGAATTGAATTTATTGCCTACAAAACGACCGATTCTCTAGGGGGAGGGGGGTCTTATAATGTTAGCCCCCATTTAGGGGGGTATAACAAAAACGACCTATTTAGCGTATCCCCCTCCGTATTATAGATCTGGGGGTCTACAATTGGAGGGGGTCTTTGTTAAACTTATGTTTATTATATAAACTATTTGCTGTAGTGTTTGTGGTATTTCCTGTAGTTGGTGCACCTCCCTTGTTTCCTATTTGTACCTTGCTCAATAGTGAAACCTCCTCTTTGCCCAATTCTCTCGCCATGCTCACCCTCGACCAGGGCTGTCGTTTCGTTTTGGCCCCCCCGGACTAATCAGGGGGCCCGGCATGTACGACCCTGTATTTAGCAGGGTAGGGGCGAATCTCGGCCCTTTAGGCTTCAGGGCTGAGACTTTTTCCTCCCTATAGATCAGGTTTGGCGCGAAAATTCTGCAGCCTCATTTCTATCACAAAGGTAACAGCTGCACTCCGCAAGTATTGCAAAAAGCAGAGACTACATTATAAAAAAAAAAAGTAGTAAGCATCATTCACTACGCACGCTTAACAGACTTCCTCCCCTTCCAACTCTTAGCAGGGATCTGTGATGTGTTTTGCTGCTGCTATGCCGATTCATGCCTGCTGGTGCACTGCACGACGGGATCTGAGATGTGTTTTGCTGCTGCTGTGCTGATTCATGCTGCTGCCTGTGTCATGGCATGGGAGCGAGGTTGTGATTGGCGCAAGTACCAGTTGTAGGTTGAGTTGAATCTGTGGCCCAGCCACGCAACTCCAGATTTGCCAGGTTTTAATGCAATCAAGATAGAAACGGGGGGAGGGGGAGTGGAGGAGTTTGGGGGGAAGGGGGGGGAAGGGGTGGGAGGTGGGGTTCGAAATATTTTGTTCCAGGGCTCACCCAAAATATACCCTTAACACTCCAGGCCTAAGCCCAGAATCAGGGCCAGAACATTTTCAACCCACCAATTCCAGGTTTCAAGGGCAACCCAGCCCTGGAATTCAAGGTCCAGCAGGGCAAACGCCCTGCAAGCGACAGGCCTGCCCTCGACACTAATGCTTCCTAGGCAAACCCTAGGTTACTAAGTCAAGAGTTAAGAGCCTATTTCGACATGTTATCAGAGCCGGTCCCTCCTAGGACCTAATCATCATGGGCCCACCAAACCCGCCATCGTCCATGGCGGTCTACTGTTCTGCTGTCACGGTTCCTACTGCCAGTAGCGTGAGATTTGCAGATGCTGGCGCTATTTTTGCTGCACCAGTCGCGCTGCACCCGTCGCGCTGCCCCGTCGCCCCGTCGACCCTGCTGTCATGGCGACGAGCTGGGCGGCTCGCGCTGCCCCGTCGTCCCGTCGTCCCGTCGCCTCGTCACCCGCCTCGTCCCGCGCTGCCCCGCCCCTCGTCCCGTTACGAGCAGCGGGAGGAGCCACGCACAGCCGCACGCAGATGCGTACGGCCGCGTGAAGCCGCGCACAGCCGCGCGCAGCCGTGCGCCGCTCCCCTGCCCTGCACCTGCTGCTCGTACGCCAGTGAAAGGGGGGGGGAGAAGGTGTGGGGGTGGCGCGTGGGTGACACAGCTCCTGCCGCCGCTATTTGCCTTCTCGTGTCCCCATTGGCCCAAATGCAGCCGTCGGCCCTTCTGCAGCCGCGCCTGCACCCCCCTCCTTGCCTCACCCACGCCTCCCTCTGCGCTTCTGCTACTGAGAGAGGTGTTGAGGGTGGTGGACAGTGGGGGGGACGTGGTTGGGGTGGCGGACAGTGGGGGGACGTGGTTGGGGTGGCGGACGGTGAGGGGGAAGTGGCGGGAGAGACGCTGCACCGCCAGCCGCCACTCGCCTTCCCTTCTCTCTCCCTGCTGCACGTGCTGTAGTGGGGGGGGGAGGGTTTGGGGTGGCGGGTGTGAGCAACCTGCTGCCGCCCCTCCTCTCTCTCTCTCACTGCCGCACGTGCCGCTGTGGGGGGAGGGTGAGGGGGTGGCGGAAGGGGAGCGGTTCCGGGTGGCGGCTGAACAAGGGGGGTGAGGTTTAAGGCGGTGGCTGAAAGGGGGTGTGGTTTAGAGGGGTGGCTGAAAGGGGGTGTGGACTTGGGGGCTCGTAAGAGGGGTTCGCCGCGTGGCTCCCCCCACCTCCTCTCCTCATCCCCCTCTCACGCCCCCCCTTGGTAAAACGGGGGTTCGTAAGAGGGGTTCGCCGTGCTGCTCCCCCCCACCTCCTCTCCTCATCCCTCTCTCACCCCCCCCCCCCCCCCTTGGTAAAACGGGGGTTCGTAAGAGGGGCTAGCCGCACTAGGCTCCCCCCACCTCCTCTCCTCATCTCTCTCTCTCACCTCCTCGTTACTTACCTCTCTGTTGTTTTCCGCTGCGCCTGGTGTACCGCTTCAGGGGGTATCCTGGTACTGGTTTCTGCCGCTAACAGTTTAGGGGGTGTGTTAAACTTATGCTTATTACATAAACTGTTTGCTGTAGCTACTGTAGTGTTTGTGGTATTTCCTGTAGGTGGTGCACCTCCCTTGTTTCCTATTTGTACCTTGCTCAATAGTGAAACCTCCTCTTTGCCCAATTCTCTCGCCATGCTCACCCTCGACACTAATGCTTCCTAGGCAAACCCTAGGTTACTAAGTTAAGAGTTAAGAGCCTATTTCGACAGTCTTATATTCGGGGTATTACGGTATGTCTTATCTCGTACACACAAATAGGTGTCCTATAAAAAGGCTAGCCTGTTTATAAGAGACACCCGTATAATAGACAACCCCTGTCTACTATTCAACACTGTCTTATATCCGGGCGATGACGGTAACAACTCATTACTTGTTTTTTCGTAAACTCTGTTTTACAACTCATAACAACAAAGGCATTGTACCAGTACGGAAATGTTTACACATTCAAATAATTGATTAAAGAGAAAATATTGTTTGGTCAATTGATTACAAAGAAACTATTGTTAGGCGTGGCGCCAGGCCACGCCAACCATTAGATTCGTGATTCTCGGTGAAAACATCCTTAATCGAAAATACCGTTACGGAAAGAGTGACTACCAGCACTAGTCATTAGCGTTTCTATCCAGAGGGCTGATCCCCAATCATTCTAAGTTGTGTCTCAAAACTTTCCACACCCGCAACAGCGTCCTTCATCTCCTGAATCTGCGCATCCACCTTGATAGCGGCGCAGAACTCCTTTTTCCCCGCCACCTCCTCCCTGACGGCCTGCAGCTGGGTGGCAATGTGCGCCATGCTTGGGCGGCTTGCAGCGCGCTCCACGGTGCAGCTCACTGCCAGCTCAGCCAGGCGCAGCACCGCATCATCAGGGGCGTCCATGCGCGGGTCCCTCAGGCTCTCTATGTCATTCGATGACAAGCACTGCGATGCCTGATACAGTTGAAATCGCAGAAAGTGTGAAAGGGACTCGAGTGCAAATCAGTCTGCCATTAACGCAGTTACTTCTGTTTTGATTTAGAGAGAACAATCAGCAACATCCAATAATATGTCTGTGGGGAACTCACCCATGGCATGATCTGCTTGGATTCCCCATCATCCTCAGAGACTGGAGGGCGTCCAGTGAGGACCACAAGCATGAGCACTCCAAAGCTGCGATGTGCGAGCGACGACGAGAGCAATACGATGGTGAGATGCATATGAAAAGTTATAACGGCCATTCCCTGCTTGTGAATGAAACAATCTGTAGAGGAGACCAATGGTGCGCAACCAAAACTGGCTGAGTAGTTCAGACAAGCAGGAAAGACAGCACATGCAAGAGAAGGATAATGCGTATCCAACTATCTAGGTTGGAGCGGGTGCTCCATGTCTGGAAAACTCAAATGCTAACTGCACAAACCCATGCAGATTTAGCATTTTAAGCTAGCATAAAACGTTTGCACGGTTTACAAAATTATTGGCAAAAAGAGTTAGCATGTGCTTGTGCAGAACAGTGAGACGACGGCTGACAAAAAGCTGAAACCTGTAACCAGTGTTCATACTTTCCACAGCCCTCGCCATGGAAAATGTATCTGCTCGTTTTAATGGGTTATATGCCCCCCAAAACGGAAGGAAAATAATAACACACACCTCCCAAGATTATCTGGCTGACAAGGCACAATCGTGATACGACTCGTGGCTAACCTGTGGACATTGCTGGCTGCTGTGGCCTTGGATGTCGGGGAGTAAATCGGATCCACATAGCCCGGTGTTCCCATGATTCGAGTTGTGCCCACTGTTGTGCCCTCCCCTGCCCTCACCAACCCAAAGTCTGCAATCTTGGGCTGGTGGGTGGTTAGATAATATGATCGTATGAATTAGCACCAAGAAGGAAACAGGTGATGGAGGAAGAAAGGTGTGCATGCATGACATTTGGAACATATTTAGAGATGGATGTGAGACTCTAGAGAATGATTTAAATAAGCTCGAACAACAATCTCTACCTGAATGGCCCTTGAGGGATATTCGTGAAAACTGCACAACAGGTCTAATACTGGTTGCTTCGTGACAACATCATGCTGCCATGCAATCTTTTGCAACCACACTTGCCTGCATGTCGGTGGTGATGAGTATGTTGGCGGGTTTGATGTCACAATGCACAATGTCAAAGCTGTGGAGATACTCAAAGCCACGTGCAATGCCGATGAGAATGTCCAGCCGCTGCTGTAAACTCAAAGGAGCAGGCGCATCTGCAACAAGCCACGGGACGAGCTTCACAGCAAGCATCAGGCGGACAGCACGAGTAGCCAACCATGAGCGGCATCGTTCAAGAAAATGCGATAACAAATATTCTGGTAACACTTACTTGGTCCTATCCACTTGTCAAGGTCACCATTTGGCACAAACTCGTAGATCAGGACCTGCTCGATCGTAGACCTGACGTCCCCTCCAACCGCAAACCCCAACAGTCGCACAATGTTGGGATGGTTCTTGTCGGCCATTTAAACGACCTGGAGAACCAGAACACAAGAGGAAGACGCCGGGGAAAGAAAGAGCAGGTTGAGCCGGGAAGATGAAACATTGTTTCTTCTTGAACATTTCAGATCGAAACATATAGCGCTATTCTAGGATGAGATTCTTTCTTCTGTAAAAGTAATCCAAAACAAAAATGCCTGATTTCCACGTTGACTGAATCTGCAGACCAGCCATCGCTCACCTCCCTCTGGAAGTCCATGTCTATGAGCTTGGCGCGCTTGACAGCCCAGGGTGTGGTGCCATTGCGGGGAGAGACGCCCTTGTAGACATCACCAAAGGCACCCGAGCCAAGCAGGTTGTCCTGCGACCAGCCGTTGGTGGCCTTGAGCACCTCCTCCAGGGAGAACTCTGTGCAGTGCGAGGCTACCAAGCTGGGCCCCGGGCCTGCCCGTGGGTTGAGGGTGAAGGTTGAAGTGGTATTAGAAAACCCTTCGCCTTGCCTTGTCTAGTTCTTATCGCACAAGAAAGGAAGAGGAATTGCGTTTACATGCAAGGAGCGTTGTGTGGAGTGGAGGTGGGCAGCAGATCATCTGAGCACATGCAGCACCACCAACACCTTAGCCCTGCAATCCTGCTGCTCCTACCTCTTGAACTTCGTTGCTTTTGGTGCCTGAAGCAGAGCTGCATGGCAGCCAGAAGCAGGAGGAGAACAACCACAGCAGCAACAGCAATGCCGATGATGGCTCCTATTGATACACCCCCTCCGCCTCCACCTCCAGATGCTGCTGCTGTTGCTGCACGAGCACAACACAACGCAAGCATGTCGTTTAAGCAGAGAGAATGTGCTGACCATCACAACAGCACAAGCATGCCTCGGCTGAAGTCAATCAGGCACAACTTCATGGCCCCCATTGACCTGATTGTTCTTGGCATGTCGAACAGGTGTTTTGACGATTCTGGCAGAAGGCCGCGAATAGCGAATGGATTTGGCTGCAGCTGGTGCTGTCAGCAGGAGGACAAGTGAGACCCGTGCCAGTGGTGTTGCTGCAATGGAGGTGGGAAGATCGACACAAGAGAGAATATGCATGTGACGTTGGTATGTGGCACTGCCATGTGACTCTACACTTATGCTTGGACAACTTGAGCACAAGACAGAAGACAGAAACAGAATCACATGGTGTCAACGCGGCATGGCGTAGCAATGACTGGTTTAGATTTAGGGAAAGCCTTTTACCTCGACTTGAAGAGAGTTATCCTATTACCCTTCTGTTTTGAGGCGGATCTGTTTGGCTGGTTCAGAACAGGCAAAACTGTTTGGCCGGTTCAATCTCTGTTCGAAACGGAAACCTGAGCGCCTTGAGCTACGCCGGTTTCAAGATCAGGTAAAAATGTGAGGCTGGAGCTTATTATACACGCTGATTCATTGGGTCACACCAACTGCTTCTCAAATCCCCCTTGCCATTGGTTTTTTAAGCTTAGTTATACTCTGTTTGAGCGTCGGAAACATTTTTGTCGAGTCTTTGGGCAGTAGATCAAGAAACATCGTGGCCGTGCTGTGGGTTGGTGAGTTTTGGCTGGTCGTTGAGATTCCTAGACAAGCAGAGGCGAAGTGTGATGAGTTGGTGATTATTGGCTGGTGGTTGGGTTTCTGTAGATAGTAAAGGGAGAATTAATGTGGCATGCTAGCTGGTGTTGGGTTTGGGTTTTCTAGATATTATAAGGGGAAGCGCGGTAGGTTGGGTTCCCCATAACATCCCTGGCAGTCGCCAGACTGACCCTCAGAACCAACGCACCCCACTTTCCCCCTTATGGCGTGGTACATTTGAAAAAAAAAAAGAGAGAATGTTCAAACGTGTCACTAAAATAGGGCCATTGTCAGTTTCTTCTTTTTGGTAAGGGTGGACGTCCAGACCAAGCCTTGTATGGACCACACCACACAGTCGGTAACATTTTTTGCGAGATTTAGAAACCACGAACATTATGTTACAAAAGAGCTTCATGATTATGTCACACTGCCCAAACAACTTTTCCGCCATTCCAACAAACTGACTGGTTTTGGATAACCCTTTTTCTCTTGATTATTCCAATGATGATTTCCCCTTAACACATTGCTCTTGACAATTCGCACAACAGGGATGATAAAATCTGAACTGCATGTTCCCTAGACAAGATTTTTTTACTCATTGATTTTTACTCTACTAGAAAGGTCTTGTTTTTTCGGGGTGAGAGGGAGGGGGGGGGGCAACCTGAATTGAAAATATCATGGGTTAAAAGTGTCAGAACATTATATAGCTTATGCTGTTGTGTAGGCTATAGTGGGGTATCCCATAGGGGGTACAACCCAATTAGGGTTTCCTATATGTACTCACTTCATTCATAGTTCATTCATTCGCGTTCTCCTTCCCACATGGAATCAGAGCAGGTCCCCTCCTAGGGACTGTTTCTAGGGCCCACCGAAGCGCGCCCCGAGGCGCGCTTTCCTTTTTTTTTAGCGACCCTCCGTGTCGCCCCTAGCGGCCCGTTGCGCCGCCCTTACCTACGCGAGCCCGCCGCCCTTACGTCGCGGCCCAGCCGCACTCACGTCGCGGCCCAGCCGCCCTCACCTACGCGGCCCCGCCGCCCTTAAGTCGCGGCCCCGCCGCCCTCACGTCGCGGCCCCGCCGCCCTCACCTACGCGGCCCCGCCGCCCATAAGTCGCGGCCCCGCCGCCCTCACGTCGCGGCCCCGCCGCCCTCACGTCGCGGCCCCACCGCCCTTGCCTACGCGGCCCCGCCGCCCTCACCTACGCGGCCCCGCCGCCCTCACGTCGCGGCCCCGCCGCCCTCACGTCGCGGCCTCGCCGCCCTTGCCTATGCGGCCCTGCCGCCCTCACCTTCGCGGCCCCGCCGCCCTCACGTCGCGGCCCCGCCGCCCTCACTTTGCGGCCCCGCCGCCCTCACCTACGCGGCCCCGCCGCCCCACTTCGCGGCCCCGCCGCCTACGGTACCGGCCCCGCCGCCTATCCTCACCGGCCCCGCCGCCTACGACCGCCGAGCCGCCCTGCCGCCGAGCCGCCCAGCAGCCGAGCCGCCCGGGAGCCGAGCCGCCCTGCCGCCGAGCCGCCCGGGAGCCGAGCCGCCCAGCAGCCGAGCCGCCGAGCCGCCCAGCCGCCGGGCCGCCCTACTGCCGAGCCGCCCGACCTGCCCTGCCTGGTGAGCACAGCACCACTGTTACTGCGTGCCCTTCCCCTACTGCTTGCACTACTACACTGTCGTCGTCATGGCTACCCCTAGTGTCCTCGCTTTTGACGCTGAGGGTCGAGCCATTGACTTTGAGGTCTGGGTCGACGACCTGCAGCTGTTCTTACAGTGCGATAGGGCGGACGGTCTTTCCCTCTTTGACCTCACCTCTGGCGCCTCTCCTGCCCCTGCTGCTGATGCTGACCCCACTGTTCGCTCTCAGTGGGCCACCCGCGATGCTGCTGCACGTCTTGCTGTGCGTCGCCACCTGCCTACCACTGAGCGCGCGCACTTTAGTCAGTACAAGAGTGCTCAGACCTTGTACGACGCTGTAGTTGCGCGCTACTCTTCCCCTGCCACTGCTGCCCTTAGCCGCCTCATGCTACCGTACCTCTTTCCTGACCTTGCTGCCTTTCCCACTGTCGCTGACCTCATTACGCACCTCCGCACTAGTGACACTCGCTACCGCGCCGCCCTTCCTGCTGAGTTCTGCGCCAAGAACCCCCCCCCCATGTACATCACTCTCTATTACATAGTCACACGTCTCC